GTCTTTAGAAGTTTTCTGCCTTTGCTGGTGTTATAGAAAGTAAAAAATTATCGTTACAGACTAAAAAGAATGACATAAAAAAAAATAAAGTTAGAAAAGGTTTAAACTTTCTCTTAAAGCCTAAATCTGGAAAACTCAATTAAATTTTTGAAGGACACAACCCGAGCGACTGAAGCTGTCTGAAGACTGTCAGTATAATCTTTAATCTAAATCTCAAATTGGAGGCAACAATCCTGCATGTGGAACAAAACTTTTAGCCGATTGGTCAAATATTCTATTTTTTATTTTCTTCCAAAAGAAAAAAACATAATATGGCGTATTCATTTTCCAGTAAGGTCTTATATGAAATAGGTCACACAAAATATATTTTTGAAATTGCCGGGGTTTTGTCGTTTGATTACAAAGTCGATTCGATTCAAGTAGATCTGATACTAACTGCAATTCCTTCGATACAAGTAGAAAGTCCAATTACTGTTTCACTAGTATGTATCAAAATGACTGAATTTGTATCGAAACGACTTTGTTCATGTATTGAATGGATTTCAGGGTGTATGAAATCGACTTGTATCGAAATTACCGTGAACAAAATTACCTTACTTTGGCGAGGAGATCTTCAAATCCTTAGTAAGGATAGCGACTTGAAGAATAAATATATTTTATTAGATGTTTTGTTGTCAGAGTATCGCTGAGTATTTTTACGAGTTGTGCCGTATTTTGACTCGCCCTACGGGCTCGTCAAATACAAATAACGAGTAAAAATACTCAGCGATGCGACACAAAAAAACCTATAATAAGTTATATATTCTTCAACACGCCAAACTGTTTTTTCAGTGCGGGCGAATTTCGCGGATATTTATTTATGGGAGTGCGTGACAGAAGTACGCGAAGCGGAACGGAATTAGCGCGTTGTCGTGTTACTGTTTCTATTTTCTTCACTAACTCATGAAATTTCATGGTCGTCTAACTGCTTTACTTCGTTAGATTTATCTAATAAACTTTGATCAATATTTACCAGCCATTCCGGCTCTTCGTCGTCTGAAAAGTGATTCAAATTGTCCGTAATTTTTTTTTCGCAACTTCAATCCAATTCTTCGCTTGCGGGATGCGAGAAAACCTGTCTAACCGGTTCTCTGGAGTACAATTACCGCGTGATATTTGTACTTGTCTATGGAGTTATTTGTACTCTACGGAGTGTAGTTGGATAATAGAAGGTATAGATGACGGCTTAAAGCGCCAGCGGATCACAGTTGCTCGCCAACTATCATTCTATCGTTTTGCTACGTGGATCCGGCGGGAATTTCGGCCGATGTTCAACGATGGATAATTTTGGCTTTCGTCTTCGCTCTGAGGGACTTCCTTCTTCCTTTGTGGCTCTTTTGTTTTCTTCTCTTAGCCAAAACTATATGGTAAAATTAAATTTCTTTCCAGATGTAAGTGGAGACTTTCCGACCTACGAGTTAGTTCTTAGAGCTCATCAGTGTATTCTGTATTGTCAGTACTAGATTACGGAAGCAGTGATTCGCGTGTTACGTGCAAAGACACCTCAGACACCAAATAATTGGCACAAGGCTTGAAGTGTTTGTGATCTGCACATAAATCCATTAAAAAAATGATATGTGTTGAAGAGGCATCGTATTTTTTCATTTCATATTGTGTTGAAGAGGCATCGAGAATCTTTTATTTATGAGCTATAAATAAATTTTTGCACCTGCATGTTGAATGATATAAGTAAAAGCTTTCGAATTGAAAGAGACCTAGACCTGAAACGATTTTAAAATTAATCCTTTTTTTAAAAGTCTGTATTTGGTAGCCGGTTCTTTTGCTTGGTCTTTTAGTCGTGAATCAACACACCGAACGTGCATTATCAACAATACTGACAAATTTCAATCATCCTCCGCCGAAAGACACCGCCTCGCCCTACCTTATCTGCCTTTATATTGGAAGCCACAGAAATACCCTATTATGACTAACTCTTTCCGGCGCCTAACAACACCATTCAAAAATTGTACTTTTTATTAGACAAAAGCTTAATGGCGAAGAAGGGAGGATAAAAAAAGGAATATACAGTAAAGAATTGGGAATCAAATTTAGGATTCCACCTGTACAAACCGTCAGTGTTTTCTTACGGCGCTCATTTTCATATTGCCTGGATAATTGGCGTCAACTGGCGACTTTCATAAAGAAGATTTGTCTTTAGACATTAACGCTTTGGGGTAAATGAAGGCAAAATGACGCAAAAGTTGAGCACGATCATCGAGGCCATAGTTCTCATTCTCGTCTGTGGAGTTTCCTCTTTGGGAAATGCAACTTTATTTTTTGTCTTCACTCGAAAGAAACATCTTCGCACCATCTCCAATGGTTTTCTACTCAACCTCGCATTCGCTGATTTACTCGTGTCCCTGTTAAACATGCCAATAACTGTGGTCACTATCATCAAAGAACGTTGGATTTTTGGAGATACTGCCTGCGTTTGTTTTGGATTCATTACGATGCTTTCGTTTGTATCATCGGTGATGTCGCTTGCTATGATAGCTATTAACAGGTATTATTACGTACGTACGTAGTACAGTGGAAAAATTACGCAAACATTTTTACAACAAGAAAGGCGTTCCTGTTTGCGGGAATCCTCTGGTTAATAACTGTGTTATTATCTGCCCCACCGTTGCTTGGCTGGGCAGAATATCGTTATATTCCCGGAAAATCTTACTGTTTTGTAGCTTGGCCTTCTAATGTTTATTACATGTATTTCATGATAGTAATATGTTTTTGTGGTCCTCTTCTCGCCATGTCTTTCTCTTACTTTAAAATTTTAAAGTTAACTAGGGAGGCCGCACGACGGCTAAATCAACAAAGAGATAACATTCGGGAAAACGAAGAATTGGGCTCCAAAAGAGAACATGCGGCTGTAAACACTTGGCATCGTGAAAGAAATAAAACGTCCTTTAAGATGTCGCAAGAAGAAATTAAGCTCACCAATACTTTATTAATTGTTGTTGCCTGTTTTATGGCTTGTTGGGCGCCGTTTGTAATAACAATGTTTTTGGACGTTTACTCTTTTCACCCACTTCCAAGAGCTGTGGACGTTGGTACATTATTGTTAGGTTACGCGAACAGTATGTGCAACCCCATGGTATATGGAATAAGGAATCCAGTTTTTAGAAGAGAACTAGCAAGCTTGTTTTCGTCATGTACTGAAAACAGGAAAGTTCATGCAAGTCACCCAGTAGTTGCATTTACTGAGAACAAGAAGTGACAAGAAGGCAGTGCAAACCCGTAAAATAATCACAGCGAAATCAGTCAAAATCAATTATGAAGAGCAGGACGTTCGCAGTTCGAATGTCAACTGACTAAACTTTAATTTTAGCACATTTACCCTTCAAACTATCCTGCAAAAGCAAACATGTTAAAATGGTCGGGCCGACGTGAAAAAGAAGAGGCAGCAGTGAAGTGAAGCTGTGTGGCTATGAAATCGTAATTAATCACCATTAAAACAAAGAAAGCATTCACAGTAGGCAACGAAGAATAAAAAAACAGTACTCCAAAGTTGTTCAAATGTAGAACGAATATGTGTAGCTGTGTCGAACATATTAAAAATGAAGGAAAATAGTCAACTTGACAGGCTTTCTGTTCAAAATTGATTGTTTGGTAAATAAGACAATGTTTCTTCCAATTCAACCCGTGGTAAAATTTGCATGCATCGGGCTTTTCCTTTACATTGTTCACAACAAAAGTGAGGATGATGGCCCCAATCATATAAGTAAACTTTTTAAAACGATTTTAAAATTTTGCCTCAATGTTAATGACATTAAATGCTCTTTTAATATCATTTGACTGTCTTCGGTGAGCATTGTGAGTGTCGTATTTGTTTTGGCTTTTACATTTCAGTTTGCACAAAATGAGCATCGCTTACTTCGAAATCTAGAACGCAAATATGAATTTACTTCTTTTAGGTCACTTTGAATTTGAAATACGTGACTCGAACCAGGAGTCACTTAAACGCCAACGAAATTATGAACAAACCGACAGACCTTTACTTTATTCGTATTGCACAATACATGCATACGCTCCCTCGGCCGTAAATTCAGTAAAACCAATGCAAATTTCATTTCTCTTACGTCAGACCACGTCTCTTTAATTTTGATGTGACATGATATGATTAAGATGCCCACTAAACGCAAACTAGATTGTCACCAAAAATAACAGGTGGACAGGTGGATGGAATTTTTTTTCCTTTTTGACTCGTAAACATCACCTTTTAGGCTGTGTTGTATCGGCAGCGGAAATTTTTTGACTCAATTTCCTTCTGAAACGTTAATGGCATATCTTACCATCTTAACGTTGCAGATTCAATACGGATAAACGCGCGCCTGCGTGGTCTTTCAGTTCCTTTGTCGATGGCTTTTCATGAATAAACATTTATGAATAATATATCTATTCAACAATTTTATAACAATCTTCGATTCAATCATTTTTTAGCTAATCGCATGGTCTTTTTGATCAGTGTTCAGCTGCTGAGATTGGGTGGGTTATCAAATGAGCGGTATTTTGGTGGAGTCAACTGGTTGGTTGCCTGGCTTGCCTGCTAGCTCTGAACTTTTTGGCTGTTTTAATTTCCCTCTTCAATATTTGAACGCACGTGTAGTTGCGTAATTGGCTCTGTGATTCATTATATACGCTTGGTTTGTGGGAAATTCGGGGGGACTGTCGATTTGTCTATCTTTGCATATGCTGCCGGCTGGCTATCGTTTTCCTCTCTTTCTTACTTTTTCTTTCTTTTTTTTTTTTCCTTTTTTTTTATTTATTGGACTATACGCCTTAGCCTGGTTTTGTACCGCTGGCGAGAAAGGCGGGCGAAGTGCGCGAGGCGGCGAGGGTCTGGCACCGAAAAATAAGGGAGAGAGTCTGTGAGAATCGTCCTATGGAGCCGGAGCCGGTGCATCATGAGAATAAGCTTTTCAAAACAAATCTTGCAAGCCCTCTTTCTGTACCCAAAGACATAGTAGTCGGTAGTTACAATTTAATTTGTTAAGCAATTTCCTTGTAATAGAGAGTACACGTTATGAAAACATCTTGAAATAAAATGAAAAAAATTGTTGTTAGGCTTTTACGTGCCGTGTTTTATAGATGAAGCGCTGGCTCTAAGTTGTTATCTTTACCAATCAATATATTTAATTTTTATGATCAAGGCAGTATATATTTTTCTTTGTTCCATACTGAGACCTCTTCCAACGATGATCCGGCCTCCTAGAGATGTAATGTCTTTCCAGTCGTAAACTGAGCAGCTCATCAAATCTGTATTTCAGTGGTTTCAATTTCATCTCTCTTTCCCCTGGAAGTGCAGCCTAAAGTATTTAAGCACACTCCCAGAATGCAATAGTAATCGTCCTCAGCACACGACAAAGGACAATCATCAATGAAGTGACAGTTCCTCGCTTGGTTCTCGCATGCTACCCGGCATGCCTGACGACTATGAGGGATTCTACTAGCAGATGAAAGGGTTATGATACCAAATAAAAAAACTGCCGATAAGATGAAAGATGGTCGCATCTGAAGAAAAAATAGTTATAAAAAAGAGAGTATATAAATTATTGTCTCAATAATTATACAATATTTTTGGCCTGCTCTAATCAGGCTCTCAGTTTGGAAATCGTTATCATTACTATTATTGTTGTTCTTGTTTTTCAGTATTATTATTTCATCATTGTATATTCGATTCATTCTTTTTTTTGGGGGGGGGGCGCTATTTCAATACTTTATTTTTCTATTATCACCATTTTTCTCCTTTAACGGTTAGATTCTTATATATCACGACTTAAATTTACCGTTACTATCGCCGATCGATACATAAACCTAAATGCTTTTCCTCACATGTACGTTAATGATGATCATTCAAAAGTCATTGCAAACTTCCTCGATCTTTGAGATCTTTTCAAGTCTTTATCAAACGTTCTTGAATGTTCTCATAAACTTATCAGGCTCATGGCTTCTTCTATTTCAGTTTCGGTTCAGAATGTGCAGAAAAAAAACTTATCTGGCTTAAAATGTTTATTTCTTGTTGAGCTTTCGACAACTCCTACTGTAAATTACTTATAAAAATTCTTCTAAATAAAGGAGCGCTATAAAAAAAAAAAAATAAAACGTGGGATAATAAAAAAGGAAAGAAAGATAAACCAATATCATTAAATCAGATCTAGTGATAGTGTCGTACAAAAAGTTTTGATACCACGCCTGGTTAATCCAGTGTAATTTTCGTGACGATACTTTAATTCTGAAATCAAATCAATTATCAAGAACTCATCTAAATATTCAATTTTATCACTTGGTACGCTGGAACCTTAAAGAAATCGCCATACCCAACCAGCTATTACCTCTAGTCTTCAAAAGGTGGTCGAAAAATAACGAAAATTTGTGAAACAGTCTTTCATGCTCAATATGACGAAAATGCTTACTGAATTCAAATCCTAGCTAAGCTCGGCTAAATCAAATTAATTGTTGTAACACCAAAAACTGATTTCGATGGATTGAAGGCCATTCAAAAAGGGGTTTGGTCGTCGTTTATATGAAGCCAGAGACAAAATCTGGTCATTCTGTGTAAAGAGAAAACGGAACGGTAAAGACAAAAAGAAAAACTATTTACATAGGAGTCGATAAACTAATTTATAGCGTCAGAAAAACTTCGTGAAGCTTACAGTAATTAATAGTATTCGATTCAGCTTTCTTAACTTGAGTAGCCGTTTTCGGTTATAAATGCTTGATGCTACGATTTATTTTTTGTATGTTTAATCCTATTTGAGCTTACCTTTGTGAATAACAATTCAATACGTCCAAGATGAAGGAATGAATCACTCAGGTTTTTTCACCAACAAGCTTCTGGTCTCCCTCTTGCACTAGCGTTGAAAAGTATTACGGTTGTAAAACGCTCGCATTTAAAAATATAACTCTGCTTGCGATAAGAAAAATTTCAAGATAAGCCAGTTCACTGATAGCTGCTCCACGTGGATCAGGGAATGAACGAAATGATTTCAGCGATAACGAAATGATTTCAATTTTTTTTCTCTCTCTCCAAGTTCATATTAATTAGTTTATCTTCAACCATTTGTGGATGACACACATGTCAAACTTTATTCTTTAATTATTTGAATTCTCAGTACTGTTTGAGGCGCAGAAATTTGCTACCTACACATCTGTTGTATATGACACACATGCTAAAATAGATTAATATATAGAAAAGGACGTAAAATTTGGCTCATATCTTTTTTTGGGTGGGTTCTTGCGTATACTCGAAAAGAACTCAGACTGAAGCTTCAGTTAGACAGAATGGATTTGTACGAAAAGAAAAAAAAAACCAATACATTAAACAATGATTGTTTCCCAGGTTATTCACTCATTGAAACTGTCAGTTTCAGCGACTTGTGATCAAAGCTTATGGGGAAATAATACATGTCTACAACACGTTTTAGATAGAATTTACTTTTAATAAACCGGAATTTAATGAAGTTCGACCCGTATCGGGCGCTTAAAATAAAAAACTAATATAACTGAGGGAGAACTATGAAAAAATCAAAAAATAACGATGTACATAAGGATTTCGAAACAACTTTACGCATAAAGATTTCATTTCAGTAAGATTGTTATGAACTGAAAAAGACTGAGTGTATTTGGTATTTAGGAGTTCGTCTTTCGCATGATGCCTCGTGTGTATTTATCTTCATTTGTTTTTGTACACTATTTAGGTTTTTTTTCATTATTATTGTGTGGAGTAAGGCTGAAAAGACAAGCAGAGTGGAAAACCTAGTTACGCATTTTTTTCGCAATGACGGTGTAAGTGGTGTTCTCAGTTAAGAAAAGTTTGATAACTGCTGGCTCGGTGAGAGGAGATATTCTTAGATGGATCGTTGCAAGTGAAAATGTGTTATCCCTTCATTTCTGAAAGGAAGCTGACAGATGGCTTATCATCAAAAGCCAGGCAAGCAAATCGATGAACTAATTGAGCCGAGCACAAAGAGATTTGGAAATGATAATCTAATGAATAAAGCTGCTTATAGTTTCTTAATGGATTTTTCGTGGATTTTCCTGCACAATGTAGGACATAGTTCAAGAAATTTTAAATTTAAATTAAACCCTGAACTAAAGCGTGTACCTGATGGCTGATAAATGCACGCGCGTTTTTGTGTGTTAATTGATTTTTATTACATGTATTCTGATGGAGATATTTCAACGCTTGATGCTACTGATCGGACAACCGTAGTCCGAATTTAACCATTTCAGAAGCGAGATTTAAACTTTGAGTGTTGGTAAAGCGCTTCACATCCAAAACTTACATATCGGAAATTGTCGTTTTTCAAATAACAAGTGATGAACACTTTTCTGCAGATTCTTGTATTTTAATTGTTATTTACAACATGTATTTAAGATGCGGGGGAGTCTTAAACAATGGTGCGATTTTTCTCTAAAAAATTCAGGCGATTTCTTCTTTTAAAAATATGGCGAAAAGAAAATGTTTTATCTTAAACAACCTCTTTGATTGCTTTGTGTCATACCTAAGTTGTGCCTACGAAAGCTCACGTTCGATAACGACCATCGGACGATTTTTGCCGGAAATCGCCCACGATCAATCCTATGCGTTCATCAGCGATCCTTTCTAGAAAATAGCTGTTAAACTTATTTCTGGACGTGGAAATAAAACATGGAAATCCCGATGCGGTGACTCGCCAGGAATTCTTTATATCTGTCCGACGACTGTAGCGTTCTCACAATTTCCCATCTTTCCAAACCTCATTTTTATTAAATAAAGAAACTGTTTTCCCTTTAGTTATGAACAAAAAACTGCTTTCCCTTTAGCTATGAACTCAAAGACCCAAAAATGTTGTGGATATAAGAGAACTTGGGGCACTCTCCTGGTGGAAATCGTGGAGACGATGGAGACGATGCAAGAAAATGACTATTCATCCTTGAACCTAATTCCACAGGGTATAGTCATGTGATATTTTCAACTAATCACCCGTGTACTAAAAAAATTGAACTTTGAATCATTGAGTCTGTTACGTTGATAGTAGCTAGGAAAATTCAAAATTCTAGGTCTTAAAATCTGACAACAGACTGCCGAAAGAACGTACAAGCCTTTTTTTTTTTTTATCCCGTCGTGTGTCTTCGAGTGCTTTTGATCAGGAGTACATGGAATTTGCACAATACTTGAAATTTTGATTTTTTAGTTTTAATTTACTATTGTTTCTTAACAATATTTAGGCGAAGTTGAGCCATTAAATCTCAAATCAATTATTTTTCATTAATCTTCGGCTTGTTATCCATGGACAAATCACGAGTTTTGGCGATGGCTAGTTCAATGGATGTTTCATCTCTCGACACCGAGTTGGTACGGTTCAAGACAATTTTCAGGAATCCCTATCTCTCATCTCAGAGAAGCGATCTTCTATCATTTATGGAGGTAAATCTTCGTATAGCAATGTAATCTGCAAAATACGTCAATGAATAAAAACACTCAACAGTCAAGTATTTTTTATGCGTGGTGTTTTGAAAATTACATGACGGCTATAAACGAGTCAAAAGTAGTTTTGCTGAAAATAGGGAGCATTAGTGAACTAAAAATAAAGGTATATATAATGCCGAGACACGGGATTATTCAGAGCCTGTTAATGCTCTCCGGATTTGAACCAGGGACCTTCAGATCTTCAGTTTGACGCTCTCCCAACTGACATCGACTTACAGATTTACAACTAAAGTGATGTTTCCTCCATCACTGACGACAATTAACCCGCATTCATTGATATCAATTTTATGTATTGGTCATTTCTCTTTGTATATCAACCAATCGCGCTAGTGCTATCGATTGTATTATGTGTATGATTGTATCATAGTGTCCACTGAGGTCCCCCACACGCAGAAAACCATATGCATGACTTCCTATTCTCTTCATCTCGCTTAGACTGATTTTGAGTGGTCCGTCTGATCTCCTCACTGGAACGAAAACATATCAAATGACTGGCCTCTGCGTACGTTTTGAGTCATTAAACTTTAATGTTACTGGCATTTCATGTCATTACCTCAATGATAGACTTATCTCTTTTGTGTATCCCTATCATGATTTGGCTGTTACATACTAACAGAGATAAAAAAAAATGTTTCTTAGCTGACGCGAAACCACAACGCTTTGAATTTCATAATAGAAACAAATTCCAAAGGGTTGTCGCTGTTTTTTTTTTAGCTGTTTTACGTTACGATATCAATCAACGACTCTTGATAAATTGGATAATTATAACGTGTCAAATGTTCACTTGGATGATTTTCGCTAATGAAAGATTGTACGAGTCACACGTCATTTACAGCATGCTAACAAAAACCGTGCGACGCTTGGATCTAGATCTGCTGAGGAGGAACGCAGCGATTCCTGCTGAGGGCATTTAGACGGACGATAAATTGGATGATATATGATAAATTCGATAAGCTAGCATCGTCAACTATTTCCTTTACAGCACGGAAAAGTGACACGTCATTTACAGCATGCTAACAAACTTAAACTCTAAGGTGCGATCAATGCGGTTGAACTTCGCGTCAGAAAAAAAAAGTTGCTCGGACGTCATCAAGTTCCAAGAAGCTGTACAGGAAGAGCAAAAAAATTTAGAGTAAAACTGCATTTTTTAGCTAAAATAAAATCAATGCGACATCAGAGAAGCAAACATATGCACTAACAAGATCTCTCTTTTAAAAATAACAACACTTAAAAAAGAAACTTCTTTTACTTTGACCGCAACTGTGCGGATAAAAGTTATCAGTGCATGTTATAAATTGTATTAATTTGTTTTAATTTCTTTAAAATTACTTCAGTTTATCCCGAACGTATTCTAATGAGGAATTTTTTAATGAAATGACAAAATGAGTCGACAATGTTTTGTCTCTGAGAGGAAAAAAGTCCGTAAACAGTCTAAACATGAAAAACCAGAAAAGTTTTTTTTAAGAAGATGCAAATTTTTATTATACATCGAACTGCTTGAATGTCAAAATCTTTCAGAGTGATCAGGACTCGGGTAGATATCACTTAGACTGCGGAAAATACTTGTAATTGAATGACAACGACAGAGACACCAACATTAGGTCATGTTACAATGTACGTAAACTACACCGCACTACGTGCTGCTTAACATCAATGGTGTTTTTCATCGTTGATACTGACACAACTGACACAGATTTCAGTCGCGTGTGCAAAGTCAGTGAGATTAAAAAAGAATCTTCTTGACACTAGATATATATTTAGCAGCAGCGCACGAGAAGCACGCCCGCCAATCGACTTCCCTGTCATTGACGTAACGAGATCTAAATTTAGCAGAAAATTAAAACTATTCACTCCACTATAGGCGTAACAGATACGAATACTTTTTAGTTGTCTAAAAACTAATAAAAATAAAACAAATAATTCACAGCGTATTTAAAGTTTTCGGTTTATAAGTAAAAGAGAATAATAAACAATCATCGAAAACCTATAGGACGTAGCAAAAACCGTGCGACGCTTAGATCTGCTGCGGAGAAACGCAACGATTCCTGCTGAGTGCATTTAGACGGACGAACTCAGCGTTATCTTGCTGGTCACATCCCTTTCGCCGTGTTTGTGATCCCTACTGAGATACGATAAGCTAGCATCGTCAACTATTTCCTTTACATCTCGGAAAGGTGAGGCAGAAATTTAGCCCTACTTTTTTAGTAACACGGGACTCGAGCAGAAATTTGATCACATTCCGTCTGGTACGATGAATTAAGTGCGGGGTATTTTTCTGTGGCAAGGTACGTCTTGAGTAAAATATGTTCAATTAAGCAGTCATGCGTATTCGGGATAAACCGCTAAATTCCGTCACGCCCCTTATCCGATCATGTACTCGGAACACACCCTCGTCAATAGAGGGGAAGTGGGAGTCCAAATTTTCGAAGAATTCCTACGGTATAAATTTGGAGTAAGTTAGAAGAGGGCCACATGTTTAAGCTTCAGAGCAGAGGATACTTCAAGAAGTAAAGAAAAATAGAAACTTAACTTGAGGACCTCAAAGGTAAGACCTCAGGGCTGCATGTCTCTGCTTCCTCTCTTCTTTTCCTCATCAAAGTACTGATAGAATAGAATACAATCAACTAAGGAAAAAAGATTAAGGATAGGATGTCTTCTTAGATCGATATCCGTTTCCACCTTTGAAGAACCTAAAGGAAAGAAGCAGATAGTACCGTGACTATTTTACTCTACCTTAAAACTTCTCAGTCAACTCCCCACGAATTAAGTATGGAGTCGCTGCAATTTACCGACGGTTTCAAAATGAAAATGCCACAACATAAAGTTTGTTTAGTTCATATACCAAGAATTCATCAAAAGACGGAGTTGAGAAACAGTGGTACATAATGTGCGGACTATGGTCATCGTTTTCAAAGTATGTGTTTAGTGCAGACCCTGGGAAGTTTACAAGTGGGAATGCCGTCTACTTTGTGACCATCCATAAAATATTCAGATTATGGGTCGGCCACGTGCAAGTTGTATATACTCTTGAGCTTTGAAAGTGGCAATGACAATTTTTTTCTTCTTTGCTTCATATTTGAACTCTATTGACGAAATAAGACGCTCAATTTGATTTAATTTTCGTATTTCATTGTGACCTGAAACGTGACGAAACGCAGTCGTGAATTCGTTATCCTTATACATGTAGAAGTAAAATAGCGGGAATTCTATGTGAATTTCAAGTTGTTTTTCCATTTCATTTCAGATGACGTTACTAGTAAGAGCGATAACGATCCTTAGCCTCGTCATGATGTTGCATTCCAGAAATGACGTCGACGCATTCGTCCTCGGCAATAGTGAGATATGTTTTGACAACTGTGAAAATAAGTTCTTGGACTGTTTGATCTTCTGTGACATGGACATCGCCGAATTGTGTGAGAGAAGATGCGAGGGAGTTTTGAACGACTGTGCTGCCAACTGTCCGACCTTCAAAAGATGAAAAAACTTATTGCAATTAACCTTATAAAACAAATCACCAATACATTTGAAGATAAATATTTATTTTCGTGCAGAGGAGTTAACTAAGAGGGATATTTGCTACATGTGAGAAACTTTGACGGCTAGATGTCAAATGTTAGCCGGCATACCTCAACGTCAGAGATAAATGATCTATCATCAGCCAATATGTTGGTGCTGTTTTCTGACTCACTAGTGGACCAATTAGGTTACGATACTCAAATAAAGACGATATTTGAAAAGATAACGTTTATTGTAATCTGCAGTATTCGATCCAGAGAAATTTAATTTGTCTGAAGGCCTCTTATATGATTCATACAGCTTGTTTTATCGCAAAACATAATAGAACTTAAGCCCCCACCCCTCCCCACCTGGGGGTCTGAGAGTGGTGTGCGATAAACACTCATGTATTTGTGCATTCATCCGCTGATACAGTTGCCTCCACGAGAGGAACAACGGACAAGGTAAAGATTAAATCGTAAATTCTATCGGGACACAAAAGGCATCAAGATACGTCGGTACCTGAGCAAATGCAAAGCTACCCCTTCTATCTCCTCCTGGTAAACTAACAACAAGTTAGGGTTAATGTTTTGTTGGGGGGGGGGTGGGTGCGCAGTTGTTCAGACACTATACTGATCTCACAAAAACATCGTCATGATGTTATTAACTCTAATAATATTAACGTTAAAGGTGGTCTGGGCCTGGTTCTTCCGCATTCACGTCATTCAAGAGAGGATAAAGTTTCATTGTATTCAAAAGACTTATCTAGTTGACCTTTGATCTCCAAACCCCTCGTTTTACCAAAAGTCAACTGGTCCGAGAAAGAAGGATAAAAATCAGTAACAAAAACTCCTCTCAATCCAATGTGAGGTACGTAGTTGTTTATTCGCTAATTTTTACAAGAAATTTCAATAAATATCTTATTTTACACAATTGCAATTAAGTCATGGCTTATCCTCATTACGCTGATAACTTCAACATCTATATATAGTTTAAGTCAATCGGATGCGATCGATTTTCGTGACTTTTATGTCTAACCTTTAACTTAATCATGATGCTCTTACTGATGTCTTACGTCATGAGGATTTGAACGTGGCTAGCGATAACGTTTTAAGACATCTTTACAGCCTTAACTCTCGAAGAATCCAATTTAAAGCGGGAAGTTGGCCGATCAAACCAGTTCCCTTGTAAGAATCACGCGGTTAATATTATTATCCAGACCGTGAACCTATTTCGAAGTAAGTTTTTGCCTTCACTCTAAACTGAGTTTTTCTGGCATTGAAGGCCAAATTTATATCACTTCAAATTGTCGTCGTTACTCCACAGGGGACCCACACAAGCGGCTTGTCTGGTCGTTTGTTCGAAATATAAAGAAATGTATGGAGAGTCGTAATATCGTAAGCTTCAGTATCAAGGAATGTCTATGTTAAGGCTCAAAATAAATATAAACCTACCTCACTTGCTGTGTATTGTTGTTTCTGTGGTTCCAAATGGCGAATTTGAGCGACTTGGTAGATTTTGCGTTGACTGTTACTCTACTGTATAAGAGAGACTGTTGACTGTTACTCTCAGGCTACTGTGTGCCACTTGTGTTGGCCCCCTGTGGTTACTCAATATCCCCTTTGTCATGTGGAAGTCTTTCCCAAATATGAGGGGAATTCAACCATAAACTGTGACGTCCGTTTCCTCTAATAAGGTTATCTGGCACGCCTCGATTGTTGCCTGAAATATTATAAGCATCTCCGACCTTCTTGCGTACTTTGCGATAAATGCCTGCAAGATGTAACAAATTCTCGTCTTTGAAGACCTTGCCAGTGAAGTAATAACTGCTACAAGGATATTCGTGTTAACAATGTTCAAAAGTTCTATAGTTCGGTGAAGGATTTGATGTTTGATAGATATGCAGCAAATCTTTAACTTACAACACAATTACGTCGATCTCAAGGTTTCCAGACACTTGAATATTTGGAGTGCATGTGAAATAAATTGCCACACGTTGAATTAGCAGTGTTCACGTGTACTGACATCATCCGTTTATACAGAAAATACCGGATTATAAAATTAAATAATTTCTTAACACATATTAGCATTTTACGGAGATTTTTAGATGTGTAGGTTAATTCGGCAAACAACACCAATATGCATAGTTTTCCACCAACTTCCAAGGTTTCAAAAATTAAAAACAAAACTATTGCGTCTGCACCACAATCAAACTGTTTTGAAGGACTCAATTCGATCGGTGCAATACGTTCAAAGTTTCTAAACGCAGTCATTAGCTCTTTATTAAGTTATAAAGGTTAATACTTCACGTCATTGAAAAAGTGTGCGATAGCTGATCCCGCCGATCGACTAAAAGGAAAAAAGGTAAAGAGAAACTTGGAAGTTCTAAATAGCAACAAAGTTAGGTTAATCTTCATAATGCTTGCCAAAACCGGCTTCTTGAATATTTAGAATGCACGTGAAAGTGCTACTTTAAATTAACAATATTCTCTTGCGGTGAAATCATCTGCTATATTCGAAATGGTAGGATGATTGATTTCATTGATTTCTAGACATATTTTGAATTCTAGCGGTTTGTCATGGGATATTTTTCAAATTTGTTGGTTAACTATACAAAATACGCAGACGTGCGAAGTTTTCAATCAAGTTGCACTATCCCGAGTACAGTGTAGACCACAATTGAACCAGTTTGTAGTCATATATTCGAAAGTTATGTTAAATTCAAAGTTAACAAGTTCGATAACGTCAGCTGTATGGTAAATATATTATAAAATTTGACATAAAACTGAAAATTGATACATGTAAAAAATAAGACTTAAAAACAAAGATTAAAATGGCAACTAAAAGTACATTGACATGGAGGCCTCACGACAAGAGAAATTTACTCCAGCCCACTGCTCATTTATCCAGGAAGCTTTTTGTGATAAAATGTACGCAATAAACAATGAAAAACATTCCTGTGGGCCAGAGTTAAGTACTCATCCAATCTGACTTGTCAGGAAGTCGGTATACCAACCTTCTTTCCGTCTTTATGTTCCCGTGTTGTACGACACACTAGGTTGGACCTAACTGAGTCAGACAACTAGGTGAGTGTGATGAGTGCCAACAAATTACTAAAATCAAAACGTTGGCTTTTCTTTCATTCGTATTTTGTGAAATCGGAAAGTACCTTTAAGTGTTACATTCAAATTTCCGTCAGATTTTCAGTTAGATTTGAACAAATTTACAGCTGTGTGGCAGTTTTCAAACGACCGTATACCGATAAAAGAAGGCCTCAATCTAAATCCTCCGTGCTGAAAAGTCTTTGAATTTCAAAATGTTACTTTTTTCTCCCCAAAACGTCCAATTCTGTTGAAAGGTCCTTTATTTCAAATTCTTCTGGGCAGAACTTTCATTTTCCACATCCGAAAAATTGCTTGTTATCACGAAACCCGCGTGTCTGTACTAAAATGGGACTGAAGCTCTGCGTGACGTCACGCTAGTTTGCTGACGAGATTGACGGCAGATAAAAATAATAACTGCTAATGTGGAATAAATTGGCCACAATAGTGACGCTTTTATTTCAACCGACATCAAGAACATTGATATAATAAACATCACGCAATCTCTTAAGCAAAGGTGGGTTAAATATCGGCAAAGAGCCAAATACATATAAAAAGGCAACGAAAGCCTGAAGAGGAGGCCGGAGCATGGGGAGAGGGCTTGAAAATTCTTCTATAGTACCAAAAATCTGTGTTCGGATGTTAACACGAAGGAAATGAATGCGAAAAGACCAGGAGAGAAACTAACGCTGCCTATAACCTTGGTGCTATTTGATCTGACCTCATTTGATTGGCTTAAGATCTGTGATTGATAACGCTCCTTGCCCTATGCAAAGGCACACCTTAATACTTAACTATACTGACGGGCCTCGAGATAAAATCACATTACGCTTATGTCATAATGTTGGCCTTTTCGTGGCCGCACTGGTATTTGAAACCCTCTTTGGATGTCATTCCGACAACTTTATAGTAGTAGGTAAAACTGATTTGAACTTAAAAGATGACGGATTCTTTTTCAACTCAATAGGTGCCTGTTCTGCTGTCCAAAGTTACCAGACTCATTTTCACTCGTGTCCACAGTTTTAAAAAGCTCCCTTTTGGTGACCAAAAAGGTCATTTTTGTTCCCTCAGCGGTCAAAATACCAAAAGTCGGCAATGATGAAAGACAAAATAAACCTTCTTCCCAACTGAATATCGTTTCAAGCCGAAAAACAGTAGAAATATTTATGAAAAAGTCCTCACCTTTTAATAAGGGTTCTTTGGCTCTTTCCGTGTAACTTGTCGTGAAGTACTCTGAAGAACTTCCCACAAGCTACGCCGAATTTATAACATTAGCGATTACTGCTCCATTAGAATTTCTTTATTTTTATGTCATTACCAAATGCACCAGGAGCGCAATTTTCTTCAATAATTAATTCAGGGTCCCTTAAAAAAAAAAAGGAACGGCCACCTGCGCTCACTGAAAAATTCCAAACATTCTTGCGCATCACGGTAAAACATAAGCAAACTTTTATCCAGTTTATAGTAAATGAAATGAGCATCCTTTTTGTACAGGAACCCGACAATTTACAATGAAAGAAAATCTTCTTTCTCGTTTGCAATTGATATTTCAGACAAGAGAAATTAAACATTAACAAGTAATGATTGTCCTTTATTAGTTTGCGAACATAAATAACTAAATGTAGTTAACTTGAGGAAAAAGGAATTCAATTAGTCAAAACATTTTGTATAATAATAAATTGAATGCCTTAAAACTCTGCCGACAGTTGGCGTTTCATGATCAATAACGATATAAACTAAGGTATTACCCGCAGTAAAGGTGCGATGCAAGATTTGAAACTGAAATTAACCCTCCAACTTTCAATATTTGATTGTTAATTCTCCTTTCTAGTTGCTACACTGTCCTTGTAAATAAGTTACGAGAATTTGGGGTTGGATCACGATAACAATTTCCGCTTAATAAGTTTGAGTATTCCCATTACCCATTCGTTGGATAATGTATAGATATTATAAGGAGAGGTTACCTGTCAATCTTTTCTTAGAGTTAAAGGGTTAATAACATCCAAGCTGAGATAGTCGGCATGGACTAAAAGACTTAAAATCAGGAACACCGGAAAACGCTGGAACACTGAAAAACGCTGGAACACCGGAAACCGCTGGATCACCGGAACACCGGAACACGCCGGAACGCCAGAACAAGTTGGAGCGCAACGGGATATTCCCATGTCTGAAACGCTATCTGACTTACTGGCAAAAAGATTAACACCTATTTATAATACAAAAGACAGCAACATGACGGGGGATTGATGTGATTACCGCAGTTTAATATTTCGTGGTATTCCGGTGCTCAGAGTTTTCGTACTTGCCCAAATGAGCACCCACTGTTATAAATGATACCTGAAAACGGCTGGTTCAGTTCCATCGTGCTATTTTGACCGAAATCCTGCGAAACAAGTTGCCACCAATATTTAAATATTTGATCGTGAAGTGCAACTGAACTGCCACTGAAGTGCCACTATTATGCACAGAGCGCCTAATGATATCATTCACTACGAGGAAAAAACGACTAATTTCAGTTGGATGATTGCGGCATTTTTGAGGAGTATTGCAACTCAACGCACGAATTTCATTCTTTGTTCTCACGAGAATTCCTCAAAAATTATACCGTAAGTCCCTTGCGAAGATTCGAGGGATCCAATCGACTTTCCCGAGGACAATGGAGTGGTGCAAAACATTATAACATGTCCAATTTTGTCGATCATTTTTTTAAGAGTAGATAGGGAGCCCTGAAAAATAGACCATCGGAGCATAAATTAATTCCAAGAAAAGATTGGTCATGAAATCATTCCTTTCCCCCCTTCCTTTCAAAAATTGTTTTCTGTCAATTAAAAGGTCTAAATCTGGCTCATCCTCGGTGTAAGAACCGGTGAAGCTCACAAGTGACGTAAAACAAAGACAATAAAACATTAGAAACAATAGAGTACAGCAAAACAATACCTCATGAAACAAAGAAAACCTCGTCAGGTTTTTACACCGAGGATGACCCCTAAATCTCGCTGGAGGGTGCCATCACGTTCTTTCTTTCTCCGCATAATTTCGATGCGATGAAAAAGTTTTCTTTTGTTAGATATTGTTCTCCTTCATTGGTCGTTGGCATCGTGTAGGACTCGTGCGTGCAACCGCGAAATTTCTGCAAATCCTTCAATACAATGCGACTTTGCGTTAAATGTATTTCTCCAGACCTAATGGGCTCCGGCCAGTTAAAGTAATTGTTCTCGCGCACAATTGCCTCAATATATTTCACCCTTGTCAAAAGCTAGTTTAAAGGAGAGACAACCTGCATTAAAACCACCTGCTAGTAACGTTTTAGCAGCTTATTATTTTCTTGCTGGGGGGGGGGAGATTAACACAGGCTTTTCGGCGCCAAAGAAAAAGTTATGGTTTAAGGCGATGAAAATAGAAATTAGTTCATTGACCGTATGATTTCTAGAGAAGAAATAAAACTGCCGGCGATTTCTTTCGACGTTGCTGATTTCGTTCAATGATAAATGTCTTAGGCAGCCTGCATCCGTTGTTGATACTAAAATTAAACAATTATTTTAAATGTAGAAACTGATTATTTCGCAAGAGTAGTTTATCGCCAACTCAGCCATCGTTTTTGTGTTTTTTTTCTTACATCATTTGTAGACTTCGCGAATTAAGCGATTTTTTGAAAGAAAATTTAACTGAACAGAGGGATTTTTTTTGAAGAACGAGAGAATGATACTAGTTCAGGAAATTTCCAGCAGATCCTCCATTTACTTGGTTTTACATTAGCATGTTATTCAATAATTTTATGCAATATCCTGTTTGTTTTGAAATTTTTTTTTGTCGCACTCTGTCTTCGAATTAATTGGACCAATCTGGTAAACAAAGGGATGAAAAACTGTCGCTGAGAACGCTTCCACTGACCTGTCAAATGTAAAACCTGCATTCAGAAATGCGACATCCTTTCGGCTCTTTGCAGTCGACCATTGTTTTATTATCTAATCCTTTTTAACTTTTTGTTATTTGAATCAGACAGACCTCGTCCCGTATAAATATTTTATCACTTGAGGCCGCTCTATCTTGTCGACATGCGCCTTAGCAAGTCCCAAAACACCTGAAATTAATGTTTAGAAATGCAAATAATGCACACATGAAAATTGCCTGAAATGAAATATTACCTGTATTTTACCTCGGCGACTAGTTGAATTTACAAGCTCACATCGGCATTAAGGGTAAGTACGACACACATGCAAATTCAAGTTTTGATCCATAGTTGATTTCTAAAGTTGTCTTCTAGGTTATGAGTTCGATTTTGAATTACCCGAAACAAGCCACTAAATCCAGACAAATTCAGTTGAGAAAAGACATTGAGCTCAGAATTGAATGGTTGCGGGATACGGCAATACAATATTGTTAACTTTTGGTTGATGGTTTAGCTGAATTTTCATATCTTCACCAACGAAGTTCGATTGTCGATTAACTTGCCCCCAAAAAAGAATGAATTGCTACAATCGTACGTACGATTCTGTACATTAATGTGAATATTAACGATAAAACATCTCCACGTTATAGACAAAACATTTTCAAGGCAATTTATTGTTTTCAAAGGCTTTGACCCGTCCTGCTTGGCGTGTGCAGTTCTACAAACGATATTTTCTGCGAAGGTTCGCAGAGTTTTCGCGTCACCTTTTCTAAAAACTAGCTTAATTCGATTCGACCACATGGTTAACAAAGAACATACTAAACTAAAACTGTAGTAGTACACTAAGTTCCGACAGAGATTTTGATGTAAAATCACACCGAACACTAAAAAAACTTCCAATCAATGACACTTTGGATCATTCTGCCATTTTGAATTCTTGGCACACCGCGTTCTTGACTCCAAGCCCAATATTCAAATTTTTTTTCCTGTTGGTAATTCAAGATAGTTAACCTGCATCAAACTGCGGGAGATCCTTGTTAGATGATTAATGTCCTGCTTGCTTTTACGTTCAAGGCCTTTATTTGAGTTCCGCAGCTCGCAGAGAAAATATTATTATGTCTTTGACCGAAATTTAGAGCTAGATTTCATGTAATGTCCACAGTATGCCGAGCGATTCAATATTTTTGGTTCATAGCACTGCGATAGCGGATGTAACGGAAAGTACGGTAATTTATTTAAACACTTCCAATAAATACAAATTGAAATAGCTTTGCCAAACATGACAATTTATTGAAAGCGATCAATTCGGATGCTGCTGCAATTACTACAGAAACGCAGAAAGTCATGATCAGAAACCAGAACGAGATTATCTCCGTCAAGGGAAGTCCTCTCTGCAAAGAAATAGCCCAAACAATTCATGTTTTCATAGATTTTAATGACCCTAGTCCCCCATTACCAAATCATAAGCCTATTAGCTTTTGATGTTCCGACCGTCAATCACTTTAGTTTTATAACATAACCAAAGTAAAGCGCGCGGTCTGATTGGTCAATTCAGCGTCCCCCCATTTGCCCATGGGTGTACGCTGCTGACGTGAGCAAATGCAAAGACTATTTTTCCGCGCGCGCTTGTATTTTCTGGTCACGTAAGATTTGTTAAATAAAAGGGAACTCTTTAGCTATGATGTATCAATGTTATGTTATAAAACAAATGGTAAACACCACAGCGTACACTATTGNTTACCTTCTAGTTCGAGCCACATACACGCACACATAATTCTACCACATTTGCTATCGAAATCACACCAAGTATTCAGCTACCTGGCTACGTTCCATTTTGTATCACCTACCATCAAAACACTTGGGATTGTTACACGTGGTGCTTGTGCGTTCGTTTTGGGGCTCTATGTACTAGCTATCCTTCCTCTGCTAAGCGGCGCTACCCTGTGATTCTCTGGAATTCACACGGCTATCGCCTCGCGCGACTCTTACGCTTCTTTCGTGCTTAGCAACCTCCCGCGTGCATCCATAACTCAATAGTGTACGCTGTGGTGTTTATCATTTGTTAAACAGCAACTCGATAATTGAGAAAATATGAATATGCCTGACTTAGAATATTTTTTTAATATTATAACATTTAGTATGGGGGTGAGCTAATCCGTTAGAATCTTAGTTTCCTCTTCCGATTTTAAACAGCACATTTCTCGTTATTTCAACTTAAATGCTCACCTCTCCAGCTCTCTTTCGCGGTAATCGATATTGTTATCGATATATCTTGCCATTAATCGCCACTTGCACGATTGATTAGTTATCGCCGCTTGTTGATATATCACGAGCTAACAATTTCTTACCAGGGTAAGGCTCAAGGTAATTTTCAAGGCTTTCTGGATAATGCAGGACTGTCGTCAGATATGAAATTAAAACAAAGCCTTGCTCATCACCGACTTCTTTAGTATGGAATAGTATTACCGCTGTGTTAGAGAATCAGAGCACGAAATCAGAAGGTCAGGAACTCGAATTCTATGTCTAATTCTCATGGAGGACTCAGATTTCTTTTCGATTCCACGCTCGTAATAACACGAACAAAACATTTCTCTATTGGACGAATAAGCTGAAAACTTACCATCTCTTTTATCCTATATACAAGCGAGGAAGAAGTCACTGAATCGTTACCCGACGTTCCGGCGTTTATTACCTTCAAAACTATCAACAAACAGCTTGTAATTTTGCACAAGGTTAGACTAAGATAGATTTTCGTAGCAGTAGAACGTACGACCTTTGACAAAGCCAGGAACTGTGCACAGTTGCATTGAAGCCAAAGAACAGAACCTAGAGCTATACCGTGGACTTACTCCGACTGGCACGGTTTCGTTCAATCTAAAATGCTCTCATTACGTGTTGGCTGTATTGATCGTAACAACCAATTCAGAACTATATGATAGATAATTTGACAATCAGTCAAATGAAAATTTGGGAAGGATAATAAGAGTGCTTCTTTATGGAAAAGGAGAACTGAAGGGGTTCGAAAATCGCAAATACGTCAACAAGACACCAAGAACCATCGAAAACTGGTAACAGACGTACACCTTTAGCTCAACCCAACAAATAATTTGTGACGAAAGGAATTTTTGTCCTCCATATTCCACTAACCCGTCCTGCGAATAAATCTACATTGACACGCCAACCAAAACCACCCGTCATCTTTTAAACCGCACTAAAGCTTTCGATCCCAACACAGAGAGCCATGTAACTGGAATTTGTATATAATATTTTCGTTTCCTTAGAATCAATCCATCTAGCAAATGTATTAACTTCCCGAACTTATTCCGTTCAATTTTATTCGACAACATGATTGCCACTGAAAGTGAATTATCATTTGAGGAGCCAGTATACATCCTGCGTCACCAAACAAGACGAGGTGCTTCTGAGTGGGGTGTTGATCCCCAGGTTCGCTGTTCATCGGAGTTACAAGCACTACCGTTAACTGTTTCCTTCCTTCTCCCTTCTTTTCCTTTTTTTGTCGCTAAAAAACTTCCTAGAAAGAGATCATTTTTACAAAGAAATCGTTGTCTATAAAAAACCTTCCCAAACTACAAGAGCAGAGGAATCAAATAAAAGAAAATGGAGATAAAGTATTCCCCTCGGAAGCGTTACCATCGATATCGTGCCTCACAACTGTAAGCCATTTCATCAGAATATCCAATGATCCTGCAAGAGCTCGTAGGCCTCTTAAAGGTAATCTTTTTGAGAGAACCGTTCCTTATTCTGTTACACATTATAAATACATTCCTGAAGATTTTAACACCTGGTATCTCGCTAGACTCTTGCTCGACTCATTCTTATATTTCATAATAATTTGGATATATCAACAAAGTTGAAATGGTAAATTGGCCACTGTAACGATTACAAAAGCTGACGTTTCGAGAGTTAGCCCTTCGTCGGAGCGAATAGAGTAATTGTGGGTTGTGCGTGCTTTTAAAGGTGAAAAATGGAGCTACGTTCTTGGTGGGAACATGGCAACGAGAAAAACAAGAATAAATTAGTGGAATGAAAAGCGTTGGTTGATCCCTGTGAGATTTAGGCTGCCGGTTTGAAAGATGAGCTTTTGTTCAAGATTTTTACGGCTTTCCGTGCTACGTAAGTGTAAGGAAAGACCGCAGATTGCCATATGTTGGTTAGAATGATTAGGTAAATTAAAATGCCTAGCAACTGGTTTCGATGTGTCCTTGTCATTCCTTTCCATGTATCGAAGGTGTTCTAGGAATCGGTCACTTAGTCGTCTACCTGTTTCGCCGATGTATATCTTTTTGCAATAAGTGCAAGTTATGCAATAGATTACATTGGCGGAGGTGCACGTGAAGTGATCGGTGATCTTAATGGATCGTTTAGGTCCCGATATTTTATCAGTGTTGTGAATGAAAGGACACGTTTTGCATCGTGCACGAGCGCATTTAAAAGTGCCTGGTTGGTCATTAGTCTGAAAAAAACTTCTGACCAAAAAATTGCCTATGTTTTTGTCGCGTTTGAATGAAATGAGCGGAGGCTGCGAAAGATAGTGCTTGTCTCTGGATCGTTTTGAAGTAATTTAAAGTTTTTAAGAATGATGGATTTAACTGAGTGGTTGTGAGGGTGAAACGTGAGAGTGAATGGAATGCGGTGAATGAAAAGATATACATCGGCGAAACAGACAGAAGACTAGGTGACCGATTCCGAGAACACCTTCGATACGTGGAAAGGAATGACAAGGACACATCGAAACCTGTTGCTAGGCATTTTAATTTACCTAATCATTCTAAGCAACATGTGGCAATCTGCGGTCTTTCCTTACCCTTAGGTAGCACGGAAAGCCGTAAAAATCTGGAACAAAAGCTAATTTTTCAAACCTGCAGTCTAAATCCCACAGGGATCAACGAACGCTTTTCATTCCACTAATTTATTCATGTTTTTCTCGTTGCCATGTTCCCACCAGTAACGTAGCTCCATTTTGCACCTTTAAAAGCACGCACAACCCACAATTTCTCTATTCGCTCCGACGAAGGGCTAACGCTCGAAACGTCAGCTTTTGTAATCGTTACGGTGGCCAATTTACCATTTCAACTTTGTTGATATATCCAAATTATTTCGTTACCCCCACCGACGCAGCCCCAACAGTTTCTTTCGAAACTATCAGCCTTTATTCATTTATATTTCATAACTAACTAACCATGATTTTTTTTTTATCGTTTTGTTTATTCTTTTATTTTTTTATCGTTATTTCTTTCGTAGGAGTACTCCAGCTATGATGTGGCGGTTGACTATTACTCACATGATGTTCTTGAGCGCAGTGTCAGTGTACATGTCCAATGCATTGTTTGTTGCATGGGAAAAGGACGCAAATTTGACCGCAGATGACATATTCATTGAAGTCAGGAACACTTACATACCTACAGTTCCGAGATTCGATAGAATATCACAAGCGTTCAGGAATCTGACTTCCCACTCTCTAGACGAGCGCTGCCAGAAGGGCATGGGACTCTCCATATCGTGGAGCTTGAACTCGCCGTACGCTGGAATCCTGGGACCGAGATTCGGTAAAAAGTTCGGCTTTGCCGCGCGAGGGATATTTCCTAGTAAGTTACTGCACATTCTCCTTTCTCTTTCAGTTATGGCTTTTAAGTCACAGAGGGGACTATGTTGAGATGTTTCGAGTCTAATTTAGGCGTGGTCGTCATAAATAAATTGTTGTGAAATAATTGGGGAGAACCGAATAATAATAGACTAGGAGGTATGATTGACCCATAAAGAAGAGAGGATGGCTAAGAATAGAGAGGATTCATACGTGCAGACTGCAAAATGAAAAACTTAAAAAATTAGGTCCAGATGCATCAGTCATACGTCAGGTTAAATGTAGTTAGTTAGTCCTCTTCGTGCGTCTGTGCACATATGGTCTCGGCTAGAGAATGCCAGTGATTTTTGTCTTTTGTCAATTGATCAAGCTGCCCCCGATACTAGCGTCTGTTCTTCATTTCCCTCTCTACGAAACTCTTTCAAGTTTCCTTGGGACGCCCTCTCTTTCGTCTGCCATCGGAAGTCCATCGGAGGTCGAATCTGCGCGCGACGGATGGTGGCGTTGGAAGCACATGGCTCATCCACCTCAATCATCCGCTCTGTACCTGCTGAGTGATGGGTTCTGTACCCGTCCTTCTGAGAAACTTATCGTTGGTGTTAGGCCGAAATGTTATGAACGAACGTCCAGGGCGAACGCCTACCTGATAATGCCTTATGCCTTACATAGGGCTGCTTTAAAATTTTCCATTAACCTGAATTACGGCACTGCCACAGAATGAAAATTTTGTACTGAAAAGGGTTAGATAATCCCACTAGTTGCTCTCGAGGAATATTCAACAACTTTAAAGCCCCTTCGGTGAATGATCATGAGAAATTTTGATACTAATGGATACAAATTGAAATCGACAGATGTCATCAACAGAATTGTTCAATATTGTTGCAACGGAAGTAAAATCGAGTATGGTGCCTTCGTGAAGAGTATCTGGGAAGCTGAAGATCTTTTCTCTGAACAAAAGTTCGACTTTACTTTCCCTGTGTACATCGCCAAAGTAGACAAAGATTCGTATCGTGATCAACCGTTTGTCCCTGTTGTCACAGCACCTCGGGTTATGTTACTGGTCCAAGAAAAGGTAGAAACATAATTTAATCACAGTTAACTTTCAATTTATTGAAAATAGTTCGTGATGTCACCATGAGGATGCAGGGCTTGCAAATGGGTCTAGTGGATTCGGAATCGAGAAATCCGAATTCTACCCTTGGCCGGGCCATTGACTTTTTTTTGTGAAAAATTCTTAACATGGTCAGTATCTCTCTCCTTCTAAACAAGACTGAGTATAGACATAACAATGGCAAGTTGGGGAAAACTTAAAGAGAGTAGCACCCCATCAAATAGAAGAAGCAATTTTTATTTTTTCTACCTTCCCATAATTTTCAATATAGCAGTTTGTTGTGCAAACCATTGAAATTTTTCAGAGGAGCGTGTGTAATGTTCAACTGGAAATATCTGCGAAAAAAAAAGTCTGATGCTTAATCCTGACGGTATGAACAAATGAACATTATATGCTTTCCGAGTCTCGAAATTTTATTAAGAGTAAAATTATAATCAAAACAAGATCCTGACGTATTATTTTTTTCTCGTATCAGCAAAAGGGTGAAAAGAAAACAAATTTTGCAAGCACAATTTTCGATACTTGGCCATTCCTGGTATTTATTCTGGCTGCAGCAGGCGCCTCTGGAATGATAGTGTGGCTACTGGTGAGTCGAAGATAAGAATTACAGCAGAACTCGAGTCTCAGCGCAAAAATCAAGCTCATTTGCATGTGACACGAACTGGGAGAAAAACAACCAACAACATACCAGAAGACAGTCATCATTTTGTCGTGAGTTAGTTAAGATTCAGGCTCTGCTAAGAGGTGCTGACATCCTGAGTAAAAGAGTATTAATTCAGTAACTTTTCTGGCACAGGCATTTTAGGGAAACAGCAGGTGGCGAATCGAGTTAGGCATAGAAAAAAAAAAGGGGGGAAAGCCACCTCCCTGAAAACCATAATAGCTAAGAATTGCTTGCCTACTCCTTCTCTCGTCTCTCCTGACTGGAAAAGCCCTGGACCAGGCCAAACTGGTAATTGGTAATCGCAAGTAACACCTTTAATAATCTTTTTTCACAGGAGTTCGTTTTCTTCTCCGACGAGTTTTCCAAGAAATTTGTGAGCGGAGCCTGGGACGGATTTTGGTGGGCTGTTGTTACCATGACAACAGTAGGGTAAGTGATATGAAAATTCTTCCTCTTCATTTGGCTTAGGTATGAATATTTTTTAACTGCTCTCACCATTATCTTAGATAAAAAAAAAAGGGGCTAAGTGAAAATTACCCGCTGCGAAGTTTGTTGGCGGAAAAACAATGATTGGAGATAATCGAATACTGACCTGTATTTTTGTTTTGACAGCCACAATCATACATGTATTCTAAGTTTTCAGGAAGCCACGAAACAACATTTTGAATCGTTTCGAATACCAGTGAGAAATACTTTTGTCGAAGGTAATATCGAATGACACCTTGAATCTTTGTGCAAAGTCTCAAACGTACACCAAAGAGGCAAGGTGTTAAGTCTTCAAAGGTGACTAAGGATAGACAGGATTCACACAGCCATTAGAATAACAACATTATCAGTTAACAGTTAGTGATTTGAACTCATTAGTGGAATTGGTCATGTAGTTTGACGAGAGATTATGAACTGTATACTCTTTTGAATTTGGAAGTCCTTCTCGGAGTGATCCGAGAAGGACTGTTACCTGGACAACCAAAGGTTATAACAAGTTACATTTGGACAACCCAAGCGGAAGTCATCATGACAACCAAAGGTTATAACAAGTTACATTTGGACAACCCAAGCGGAAGTCATCATGACGGTTAAGTGTCTTGTTCGGATTGCGTTAAATTGTTCAAGATGAAATAAAAAGAAAAGGCTCGCTCCTTTTGAGAACTTTCCTTTTACGTATCATCATTGGAACAGTTCACTCTTTCTTCTAAACTTGACAGTGCCTTTTTCTCAACAGGTACGGAGACAGTTCCCCTAAATCATTGCCAGGTAGACTTTTCTGTTTCATCTGGATCATTACCGGAATAAATATCATATCGATATTTACTGCATTGGTCACAGCCTCTGTTACAGCCACAACGAGACCCTACTTTAACATTCATGGTGCTAAGGTAATTGTTTCAATCCTTCTGTCACGAGCGAAGACTCTGTTCGTGGGTTAAGCTGAGGCAAAAAGCGTAGCGCCAGTAAATTCATTTTCCCTAGCATTTCCTGGTCTCCCCCCTGTTGGGCGGGGTTCGCTCTAGAATGGGTGAGAGATTTGCACAAACAATCATTAGCATTACTTGTTGAACAAGTTTGGAACTAGTATGGGTGATTATCCTTTTCTGAAATTAGGACTGATATGAGAATGAGCTCTTGATTTACATAAAAAAAAACATCTGTATGCTTCTATTCATCCTTTAAGTTCGCGAGAGAGACGAGAAAGACACCCAAACTGATTTATCTTCTTCTTGAACAATAAGTTTCAAATCTTAGACAGTCCCACATTATGTATATCCATTTAAATGCGTTCATCAATTTATATCCATCAGATTGGTGCAGTAAACGGCAGTGAAGAGTTTAGACTTGGAGTCAGCATTAACTTTGATATGCAAGGTGAGATGAGATCAACAGATTAAAACTGAGCCATTAAGCAGGTAGTTCCTGAGAGGAAAGAGGTCATGAGGCAAGTCAGCCATCAAGGATGCTTTTACAAATTGCATTTCACTTGTTTGTTTGCTTGTTTGTTCTCGATTTTATATTCGGAAATCTGTAGATCACAATTAAACTGTCCGATCAATACTACTAAGTCAGTTTTTCTATTTTCTATTTTTTTTTTGTCTGATACAGCATTTAGCACCCCGGTGGCGATGACTAAAGCCGTGCAAGACTCCGTGGTTGATGGTCTTTTGATCGACAACTATGCCTTGACAAGGTTTTCAAAGCTCATGGAGAAAGAAAAAGGATTGCGAGTAGAACGGACGATTGAACATCCAATCACATACGGCCTTGCACTTCCATCCGGGGAACCTCAAACCACGCAGTGTGTGCGACGTTACATGAGGAACTACAATCATGAAATATTTGATCACATTGCAAAATATCTTATTCCTATCAAGGTGAGGAACGGAGTGAAGTAGAGAATTAATCTCGACACGAGAGGAACGATTTTAAAAGTCTTCAAGAAACGAACACGTTTAATTGCTACTTAGGAAACTGCTCTACTTCGCCGGTCTGGCAGTGAGGTAGTGAAGTACCTGGTTTCTCATCACCAGTAAGGTGATAAAAATAGATATCTTTCTTATTCTGTTGATACAGATGTACGCCTCTAAAAAACTGCTGATCATTTATATATATGAACTAATTGTACTACACGAAGATCGGTCAGATTCATAATCATATCAGTAATCTACAGACGTGTAGTTTGAAAGTCTGGAGTATATCCCGAGATTAAGATGTTGTTTGATAAGTCCTACGCTTCTGTTCTTTGTTGTTTTTGTTTGTTTGTGCTTTTTTTTCTTCTTTTTTTTTTGGGGGGGGGGGGGGTCGGTGACCAATAGGACCTTCCCCATCCAAATTTCTCTGCCCGAGAAGGAAGCAAAGAAAAGGTCGAATTACATTAGGAGAGAACGCATATTAAACTCTTAACAACCCAAATTAATAAAACTCTCAGTTCACTGCCTTAGATAGCCCATGTCTAAGACACCGCAGATACACTCACAATGAGGGGAGAGTCTTGTAGATTATCAATTTCTAATTAACTGAGTGCTTTCATCATGTATGTTACAGCGAATGTTCAAACTAGAAACTGGTCTTATTTTATTTGCCAGAGCAAACAAAACGATAAAAACTTGGCAGTTGAAGCGACGGAAGCTCTCTTCTACCAACAAAAAACGTTTGTAAAAATTGTCAGAAATGGAGTCATCATTGTGGGCAGTCTCGTAGTCATTGGACTCCTCTGGGAGTTATATCGAAGATATAAACAAAGATTCTCATGTGGATTTACATGTCGAAGGAGCAGTCATGGTAGGTAATGAGTGTTACCTTGAGCCGCTATTAGTGCTGCTAACTCAGCTGACTGACTGGCTGACTAAATGACTGGCTGACTAAATGACAGGCTGAATGATTGACAGGCTTAATGATTGACAGGATGGGTGAGTGACAGGATGGATGAGTGGCAGGCTGGACGATTGACAGGCTATATCATTGACAGGCTGAATGGTTGACAAACTGAATGACTAACTAAGTGACTCAACAACTCTCTTGTTGGATGACTGACTGATTCATTCACCGATTGGCTGAAAGGCTGAATGAATGATTGAAAAATTGACTGCTGACTGACTGACTGACTGACTGACAGAGAGAATAACTGACTGATTGACCGACCAGCTTCTGTTTTGGTTAGATTTCATTTATCAGTATACTTTTTTCTTGTATCAGGTGAATGGAAGTCAGACACGCCGGTTCCCAACGATTCCAAGCAAGAGATGATGGCTTTGCAGTCAAAGAGTAAGTCAAAGAAAGTCAACGCCGAAGAGCTCGTGCTTGGCTACAATAAGTTCCATAAACACTGGGTGGAGCAGTTGGAAAGCATGAGGTCACGAAAACCGTAAAGGATAACTCCAATCACATTTGCCAGGCAAACCCAGATTGAGTGGCTGATAGACCAAGATAAAATAAACACTGGCCATTGGGAAAAAAAAACAAAAACAAAAAAACAAACTGAAATACTAAGACTACAATCTGTAAGAAGAATTTTCATCAATCTATGACTTATGCTCTTGTCCCCAGACCTTAGCTGGACTTCTTTGAAGTAGCTTTAGAAAAAGTTCGTTTTCTATTTCATTGCACGCGCAGTATTTGTTTAATAAAGTAGTATTAAGACACAGCCAATAAAATTATTTTGTTCCAAGTGTTTCATGCAGCATCGACTCAAATTCTTCTGAACAATTCCACTGATGATCATAAGACCAGTTTCTAGAGTTTATGACTTATCATGGCCGATTACATAAGCTGTGTTGGCCCCGGGGCTGCTCGGTTTTGCCGAGTTCTCAGCACTTTTCTTTAACCCAACAAAAATCAACTTGGTGATTACATGAGCATAACATGACAACCGAGCCAGCCCGGTTGGCCAGGATCCCGAGCCAAACCCAGCTCATGCAGTCAAGCCTCTATCAGTTACCGGCGAAGCCACCATTCAACCGATCACGAGACCTGTTGAATCACTTTCGTGGGCTGTAGCAAAAGTAGTCCATCTTATTTTATATATTTTTCTCATGACTTTTAACATTTTGTTACATCGGGATGTCCTACAATATTCCAACTGTGGTATGTTCAGGATTTTCTGGACGACCACAAGAACGACGATAAATTTTTCAGTCCGACTGTGGAATTGAGGAAGATGTCATTGGTTTTGTCACTTGGGCGGGACAGTAACATGTGAGTCTTCCGAAAATGAAACCATCGTGTTTCGAGCTCTGTTGTTCAGTCACTGAGATGCAGGGAAATGAAACCAAATTACTTTCTCGTAGGGAGTTTAGTATTACCCTCACTCACTCACACACATGACCAAACACAAACAGCTCGACAGAGCTTAAAGTTTGCATTATCTCTCATCTTTTCATCTGAATAATCTCTGAAGCATCACTTACCCCACCCTTCAGACGTTACCTCTACCACAGGTCACTTTTCATCTTCCATAAAAAACGTATTTCATCCTGGCCCTTTCGTCCTTCAGTGTTACTCAATGAGACCTTGTGAAAGCAACATTATTAACCCTTTTTTTAAGCATTGTAGCGCATTTTGTGGACTAGAATGGAGAATTTGGCAGGCTAAAATGTATATTAGCCCGCTGAAGTAAACCAATGAAAAGGGAGAATCAAACAATCGTACGATGAAATCAGCCTATTAAAATCGAGAAGCCATTGCTATGTTTGCACCGTTTTCTTGCAGCGTTGGTGAAAGAAAATAAATCGAAGTAAATTTGCGCCATTACAAAGCAGACCTTGACGAAAAACGCAAAAGCGTGGGAGGAAATTCTGAAAAAAAATTAACTTCCAAAATCCAAACGGGATGAAATGGAACGTAAATCAACTCTAAAGATGCTGGAGTCGGTTGACACCACATTCTAAGAAAGAACACGATTTGAAACGTAGTGCTGGTTGTTCCATTGATGACGAGAGTATTCTCTAGTGCAAACATGGTCTAAACACGGTTATAGACGATCAGTATTTAAATGATTGGTTTCCATGGTTTAAAAATGGGCTAGCGGTGGTGACTTTCAAGTACGCTGTTTAAATTTTGTCTTAACAATAAGCCCTATTGATGTCTGCGAGCATAAACTCTATTGTTATATCACTTGTTCTACAGCTAACAGTTTATTAATCGTGGCTAACGGTTATTTCTGCGGTGTAGCTTCTTCAACATATTTTCCCACCTCGACGAAGATTAATTGAGTGGCCAAAAAAGTCGAAAGAACCTGGAAAGTAATCATTGGCTCAGTATCTCGCGTGACTCACGCGCATTACATCATCGTAACTTCATCTTCAGGTGATTATCATTCAAGATGGCCACCGTAAGTAGGATTTTCCGGCTTTCCACTTTTTCACTGGCCGCTGGCGGTATATTGAATTTATCTAAAGATATAACAGACAGTTCAAGAAAGAGTTCAGAAAATTCGAACCTAGAGCTGGTCTTAGTTCAAATTGCCTTTCGACACGGCGCCAGAACGCCAATTTTCCAGGCGCCTTGTAAAGAGTTGGAACCCGTTACTTGGAATGCAGAACTTTTGATGGGAGCTCTTCCGCACACCGACATCAATTACGAACTTAAACACTTGTCTGGAGGTCCTAAACCCTTCTCTAAATACGACGATTGCCAGATGAGAAAAGTGCTTAAGGTATAATATGAAACTTGTTACTCTTTTTGAAGATGCGTTATTTTGATTGGCTTAGAAATTAAATTCCTAGTGTTTAATATTATAAGTGGAAAATTTAATAGCCCATTTTCGAATTACCTTTGGCCTCTTTAAAAGCGAGTCCTTGTACTCAACTTTTCATGTGATAACAAGTTTTCATTCACATGCAAATTAAAATTATTTTCATGAGAATGGGTAAGTAAAGTAAAGTAAAAGTTTTATTAATGTGTTTATGTATTTAGATTTCACAATTAATTGGGGACACAAAAAAGAATTAAAGGAAACAGTTCCATATAACCCCATACATTAATTATGCATTCATTTCATAAAGACTAAATATAAAGGTTTCTTTGCAACACTCTATGCATAATCAATGTAGGGGGTTATATCAAACCCTTGCCGAATTAAATAAATAAGTAAATTAATAGATAAGATAAAATAGACTTATTTACAAATAAGAAATTATGAAGGATGTTTATATCATTTCTATGAATAACATATATAAATTGTACATTAAAACAGACGGTATATAAAAGGTGGTCTCCAAGAGTTGCACGGGTTGCAGCAGCTTTTGTTGTTGTTTAAGAGTGACACTAGATCTTTTTTCCTAATGTTCTTTTTAAAAGATTCAATATTCAGGGAGCCTTTCAATTTATTATCCAGTTTTTACCGTATATGAGCTCCTTGATAATTATCTAAGAGATGTTTTTCATAGTTAATAGTATGATAAGTAGGAATTTCAAAATCACTGTTTCTTAGTTAATGATGTACATGAAAAAACTACTCAGCTCTGATTGGTTAAGATAAATGCAGTTTTTAGGTAATTCAGTGCAGAAGAGAGTTAATTCAGTGCAGAAGAGGGTTAATTCAGTGCAAAGAAAGTAACAGACCAGACATTCTGGTTGGTCAGTAATCAAAGAAACTCACAGAATTACCAAACTCACTGAACAATTCCTTGAACTTTTTGGCCAGACTTTGAACTTTTTTGTGCCTTAAAGATGTGAAAATTTCATTTTATCTCATTTTTTTTGATTGTACGTGGTTGTTTTGACCAAATGCAGGGTTTGAATAAATTATTTTTGCATGTGATGTGCGTGCTTTTCTTCTACATAACTATGATAAGCCACCTCATATTTTTTCATGTATATTATTAATACATAATCACAGGATTTTTCTGTTGCAGTTTGGAATAAATAAGCACTTGTAAATTTTTTCAAAGACCTCAAATTGCACTCACCCTATGAGCTTATGCAATTCTGTTAGTCTTTAAAAAAATTTGCTTGTGCTTATTTATTCCAAATTGCACTCAAAAACATGTGATTACCTATATGAGTAACTAATGCTTTTCTGCCTGAGCAGTTTATAGCACCAGGCCTCATTTTGAAAAAGAGGCCAAAGGTAATTCTGGAATAGGCTATTGCCCTTCAGAATGCAACTGTAGCCAAACACAGTGCCATAAGGGTTGCTGGGCTGAACTTTGGATCAGAAGGTCCATTTTGAAGCCTAACTGGGTCAATGTTTATGAGATAGGCACTTCAGTCATGAAGTTTATATGCTGGTATAATCACGTGCACCAGTAGGAAGTAGTCAAAGCATGCTAGCCATACTGAAGTATTGTTTAGTTGTTATACTGAAGTTTTGTGGTAACATTATGATTTTGATAAAGAAAGAAGTAAGCAATTGTAAGTAGATATAGTACTGTATATGAGTTTGAAGCTAAAAAAGTCTGAAAAGGTATTTGTCAATTTTTAAGAATGGCTGACAAAACCCTGTATTCGTTTGGGGGGAGGGAGGGGAGGGAGCAGCAATGCGTATAGCTGATAGTCGCTTCATACTACTTTAACCATGATAAACCCTGGCAGGATGAGCCTTCTGGCTCATAAACTGACTTTCCCAACATGCCGTTTTGGAACCAACATGAATATTGAGGACTCATCATTGCAAGAAACAAAAAAAGAATTAACTGTACCATACTTGAAATGATCTGTGACTTATTCAAAGTTATAGATAAAGAAGCTAAATTTCTAAAGAAACTGTGGTGTCGCATCAGTAGGGGACAATAACAAGGTAATTTTGGTTTTATCAGCTAAGTTGATAATGTAAGTTGGCCACCATAAAGAGTTTCAAAGCTGACGTTTAGAGAGTTAGCCCTCTGTCCATTCACTCTTATGAAGCCGTTTAATACTCAAAATGTCAGCTTTGAAACTCTTTAAGGTGGCCAACTTATATTATCAACTCAGTTGATTAAAACCAAAGTACCCTATTAAAAGTTAGTCACCGAGTTTTTTTAAATGTACAAACTCAGTTATGTTGTAATTAGTCCAGCATAGTGTCTGTGGCAAAATTTCCTTTAGAAGCCATTAACTTCATGATTATACACGTTTTTGGATAACAGAAAAAAGTGGCATAAACACTGGATTTCCATTAGAACAGCATGTGTGGCTTTCTTTTAGTATACTATGGGGTTATATGGAAATCTTTCTGTTTCTGTTTTCAAGAAAACTATAAAATATAGTTTTTTAATTTGACAATTAACACAAGCCTCAGCATCATCATCATGATCCCCACCATAGTTATTGTTGCCATCACTAGCCTTTGAAATAAACTTCAAAGCCTGTTATTGTTATTGTATCATTGTCATGGCCACCTGACAACTTAATTTGCTAAAATTTTGTCAGGGTTATGAATGGCAGCAGGTGGCATATGGCTTGTGACTTGCCTCTCAAAGAGCTGCAGTCTCTAAGGTTTCAATCTGCTTGCAGAAATGTCCAAGGGTTTAAGCAGAGTCCCTTGCAAAGCACCTTAAAATAGAAAAATGTGGTAAAATCCATCAACCTGCAGTCATTTGGTAGGAATAAAATAGCTGCAAATGTGTACCTTCATGTAATAACCACTTGCCTGATAAAAACTTTCACTTTCTTAATAATTATACTCAATTTCTAATGGGAAACATCTCCTTGTCCTAAGATATTAGATGATTTTATGTTATTCAGGTACTTGTCTTGCCCTGCCAGGATTAGCTTTCTAGCTATTTGCAGGGCAAACTATCCCACTGTTATTTTATGTACAAAATCAAAGAATAAATTGTTGTTGTTGTTGGAAAAATGTTTTATTTTTTCCTTCCCTTTTAGGGGGGAAGTCCAGTTGGTCAGCTTACTAAAGTAGGTCAGCAACAAATGTATGAACTGGGTAAAAAATGTGCCAAGCTTTATATAGATGATCTTAAATTTGTACAAGAAACCTGTAATCCTCAAGAAATTTTGTGAGTATTAATGTTTTGTACCATAAGTTTGCTTGAAGTATCCGATATTTTTTTCCTGTGGTTAAAATCAGTTTTGTAGAACTTTCCCTAGATAGAGGGAACTCTGCACCAAATAAATAATATTGCTTACACTTCAACTTTTTACCAGTTAAAACGCCGTGATATCAGTATGTATGTTCTGCATACTGTTCTTTATACTCCTGCTATGGTGCTGACGTGGGTTAGAATTTGTGTAACAATCAAGCAATTCATTTGTTGTTGATTATTTCCTTTATTCTTGTGACACTGATGTTTGATTCAGGAGTTTAAGCCTAGGAGAAATAAGGTGCTAGTCACTCTTGGAAGTCAAAGGATTAATTTGCAACATCTTTTTAGCATACGTACATCCAATATACAAAGGACTGTGGATTCTGCAAGATGTGTGTTAGCAGGAATGTTTGGAAAAGAGGGTTTCAAAGGTGATTTTGATTCCTTATTACTGTCATTAAAAGAAATACCATAATTATACTATTATACTATTTTGTTCACCAATTTTTTTGATGAACCAAACCTGTAGGCCCTGTCACCATGCATACAGAAGATGAAGAAAGGGAGGTCTTGTACCCAAATATGAATTACTGCAGATTTTTAAAGAATTGGGTTAAATACACTGTTGCTCATGGGAAAGATGAAATAGAAGGATTCAATACCAGGCAGAAACAGATTGGAGAAATTTTAAATTTGAATTACAAGGACTTGAAGCCTGCAGTATCTGTCCACTTACGAGATATTGTTGTTGCTATGTTGGTGAGTATCTTGCTCAAAATTTAAGGTAAAAAGTCAATACCAGCTCTTTTTATCCAACTGTACTAAATAGAGTATGAAAAGTACAGGAATCAAGTACAAATATCATGTGTGCACTATACTTCTCTACCTGCTTTGTGTTTCCCCCTTTTTAAGAAATGCACAAGTCATGAAATAAAGTGGTTGGATAATAAATAACTTATTAGACATTTAAATGTGTAGTATCACAGAGAATTTTTACTCAATGTTTGTATTTTGACTAAAAAAAAACAAAACAAAACACCGCAAAAGGTAAAAAGTATTCAGCAATAACACACACCAAAACATCTAATAAGATGTATATATTGAGTGAGGTTTAGCATTGATCAGTGCTAATGAACACTTGAAATAGACAAGCATATGAGAGAATTTGAATATATCAACAAAGTTGAAATGATAAATTGGCCACCGTTACGATTATAAAAGCTGACGTTTCGAGCGTTAGCCCTTTGTCGGAGCGAATAGAGGAATTGTGGGTTATGTGTGCTTTTAAAGGCAGAAATGAAGCTACATGATTGGTGGGAGCATGGCAACGAGAAAAACACGAATAAATTAGTGGAATGAAAAGCGTTCGTTGATACCTGTGGGATTTAGACTGCCGGTTTGAAAGATGAGCTTTTGTTCAAGAGTTTTATGGCTTTCCGTGCAACCTAAGTGTAAGGAAAGACCGCAGATTGCCATATGTTGCTTAGAATGATAGGTAAATTAAAATGTCTAGCGACTGGTTTCAGAGGTCCAGAGGACCCTATACACAGGAAAAGGAAAATCTGAAATTGATTATTGACCCCCCTAACTGCCATGTTCTTGTTTTCTTATTCATTTTTCTTTTCCTTTTTTTCTGAAGTCATGTTTTTTTATTTGTTACTGAATGATATAACAGTTACAAGAGTGGAACTAGTTTGCACCCATGATTGTCTTTTCAAGGATCTTTCAGATCCCAGCAACTTTCATCTACCAATCTTCTTATCAAACATACTTTGAGGCATTTCTTAAGTGTCATGCATCTCTTGCACTTTGGTCCCGCCCCATTGTTTGCACCTAACATGCATGCTTGAGTTACCAGTTGCAATAAAGCTGACAAGACAAAGCTTTTTAAAAATATGGCAAGTTGCACATGAAGAGTAGGTGAGCCATTCTAGGACATATCATTAAAGGGCAGGTTAAATGTACTTCACTTCTTCCTCTACTTGTAATTTTTTTGTAAACTTTGCTGTCCTGTTGTCCACTGCTCAGATTCAGGGAAATTTCACAGGTTAGTATACAGTTATGATTGTACACTCTTGATGGTTTTTTTTAGGCTCACAACATGGAAATTCCTCAGAATATTCTACAGAATTTGACGTTAATAGAAGAACAAGCTGTACAAGTCTTTCTTGTAACACAATGTGGAATGGAAAACATAAGGTAAACGGTAAAAACTTAGTGTTAAATCTTGCCATCTCTGAGTCTAATATGAGTACCTCTTCCCCATATATTTTGATGAATTGAAACTGCTTCCATTTCCTCAGCAAGATTTTACTCTTTTTTCATCATTCTGTTTCCAACTTTTTTGGCCATCCTGTACAGCCCTTTGTTGCTCTTTACATTTCTCTTATTTTGGTATATTTTTGTTTATTTTTTCTTGTACATTTGCTTTGCATTTCTTGACTCATATGTTTTTATTACTCCTGTTTTTATTACAGGGTTACTTTTGACGTACATTTGAGTATTGCATTATTCAATTGAAGTAATAAGTATTGTTTGAACTGCTAACTCATCTTTAACAGGAGAGAGTACCTTTCAGTAGCTATAGGAGTCTTTTTGGAAGAAATGACAGACAATCTTTTCAAAAAGATTGTTGGACAAAGGTACACCCTTATTTAATTTTTGATTCATTATCATCCAGAATTGCATTGTATTACAAATTCTGTCGACATTTTCCTGTACTAAAAAAGACTGGAAAAGTTCATTAAGTCAGTGATGCATCAAAATAGCACCCTAGAGAGAGTGTCAATTTTTTAAAGTTTTTGTAGAATATAGTTAGTTGGAGTTTTATTATTACAATCATACCAGTGCTCGTCCAGCCTTCCTAAGTGTGAAGAAACTTCTATTATGGACCGAGTTCTGTTGCTTTATTTTTGTGCTTTCCCCACCTTAAAGTTTTCGCTGAAGTCAGTCAACCTTATGGAGATGCAATGCAGCTGCAGTCTATTTGCTATAAAAACAGCAAAATGTTTCCCAAACGTGAATCAATTTCAAAGAAGACTCCCATCACAGTGGAAACAAGATTTGAAGATTGGGTGATGTTACTTGAGGAGTATAACCGGATATTCCCCAGCCTAAGCTCCTGCATGTTAAGTCATGTGACGCGTTGAGACCAATCGCACCCAAGTGATGATGTTCTTTACTTTGTCTTCATAAGAGTGGTCATATCATCATTGGACATAATTCACTTCGCGTTTGATAATTGATTGTGAAATATGCTATCCTTTCTTTTTAACAAGAGAGCAGCTCCATGTTTTTACATGATGTGTCGACATCAATAACTAGCATTATTATCCATCAAATACTTTTACCCGCGCGCGATTGGTTGAAACGCATCTGGTGACCGAATATTCCCCAGCTAAAACTGAGTGATGTTCGAGAATATTCCCCAATTTTCAAACCTGACGTCCATTACGATAAGTCATCGTTTAGAGATGAGAGAGCGTTTTGTGGTTGTTAAAGAAC